TGGGATATGGACCTGGAATAAAGGAAAGAGGCATTTTAGGCCAGGGAGCAGTATTAGCAATAGATCATGTGGGAAGGAGCGTGGTGTGGGTATGTGTACCTACAGAGGCTGTTGGTGGAAGAGATGATAGTAACGAGATAATCGACTAGAGTGGAGAGTTCCAATATCAGAGGAGTTGGAATTTAATAAAATACGTGAAACTGGGCAATGCTGGATCTTTAGATTTAGGCAGAAAATGGGTTAGAGCTGACTTAGTAATCTTGATTTATTAGGTGATAGAGAGCAATCAGAAGTTCTTGAATAAGGCAAGCAAATTATGAAAGTGTGTGAGTAAGAGTTTTTTTCTGGCATTTGTATGCAGAGAGATTAAATGCAAGGGAACAAGTTAGGAAACGAATGCAATAATTCAGGCAAGAGACATGGAGAGCTAATACAAGGGTGGGAACAAAGATTGTGAAGGGGAGGAGATGAATCAACGGAAAAAAAAAAAATGACTGGACTGGTTGCCTGATAGGGTGTGAAGGGTGAAGGAATCTGAGGGTCAAATATTCTCCTAAAGCCCAGAAGACCAGTTAGTTTTGTTATGAATAGAAAGCGTCTAGAGAAACTGAAGTAAAATATGAGTTTAATTTTAAACATGGATTTTAGGTAATGACGTTTAGGAGTGCGATTGAGAAATTGAGACTGGAAATAAGAGATTTGGGTCAAATCAGCATAAAGGTTGATAGATGATGCCATTAGGGAAAACAAACTCCGAAAGAGTAATTAAGTGTTTAGAAAAGAAAGAGCAGAAACCAATTTCATAGTTACAAGGAATCAGTGAAGAAAACAAAAGTATAATTAAAGGAAGAAGAGAATCATGGTAGTGATATTTCATGGAAGTGACATCCCAGCCATAACCAAAGCCTAATGATGAAACCCCTACATGTCTCTGAATATTTAGTCATGTAGTATCATGATTAATAGTACAGGGTCTGGAATCACCTGGCCTGGGTGAAAACACTCTGGCACCGTGACTTATTAGCTGTGTGACTCTGAGTAAATTCCCTAACTCCTCCACTCCTGTTTCCTTATCTATAAAATTAAGAAACAGAACTTTCTCCAGTGGTTCTTGTGAGCCTTCAATGAAATCTTCCATGGAAATAGGCAAGTAGGGGGTTAGCACCTCTTAGCACGCGGTGTCAGCTGGTCTCAAATGACTCAGGTAAGCACCTCATCATTTCTCTCCAGCAGACTCTAAACAGCTTCCTAATTGTTTTTCTATCTCAGTCTCTCTCTATTCCAGGTTATTATGCGTCTGTTTGAAAACCACATTTGTTACGTAATTCTATTGGATGAAGTCTAAACGTTTTTGAACAGATCTCCAGATTCCTCATCATCTGGCCATTTCCAATCTTTTTTCCTACCATTCATTCACACATCTAGAGGCTCTATCACATGGAACTTTCTGATGATCCTGAGTATACCATAATATTACATTACTGTATCTGTGAAAGCAATTCGACCTAGAGACCTCTGCCCTCTATGCCCGTCAAACTCTTACTTATCAAAGTTCTGGCCCAGTAAAAATATTATGTATATGCAGGGGGTCACAGTGGACATTGTGGTTACCTCCCCAACACCTGTTTCTGTTCTTCTCCCATTATGTATATGCCATTCCATCTGATGGGATTGATCCCACTCCTGGCTCTAAGTCAGGATCTGATGGGTTTAGGGCTGTGGGACAATGGTAACTAGTTTAGAAATAGGAACTTGACCTAAAGAGATCCAATCAGAGTGAAACTTATTCTAGCTTTCTAGTACATCTTGATATCTAGGAGTGTCCTCTTTGTTCTTCAGCATTGTCTTGTTATTCTAAATCTTTTGCATTTCCAGATACATTTTAGAACTACCTTGTTAATTTTCAGGAAAAAAAAAAAACTGCTGAGATTTTGATTACATTGAATTAAATCTGTAGATTAATTTGGGAAGAATTGGCATTAAGCCTTTCCCCATCACGAACATCGTATATTTCTCTATTTCTTTAGGTCTTCAAAATTTTTCCCCAGATATATTTTGTGGTTTTCGGTATGGATGTCTTTCTTATTCATCTTTGTTAAACTTTGGTGCTGTTTTACTGGTATTTGTTAAATTTCACTTTCTGTGTGTGGAGTGTTAGTATATAAAAATATAGTTGATTTTTTAATGTTCATTTTGCATCCAGGGTCATTGCTAAATTCACTTATTAATTTTCAATCTTTGTATATTCATTCAAATTTTACTATGTAAGTAATCCTGTTGTCCATGACTAAAGATGCTTTGCTTCATTCTTTCCAAATTTTATACTTTTATTTTTTTCCCTTGCCTCATTGCACTGGTTAGGACCTCCTGTACCATGTTAAATAGACATGGTAATAACAGACATACTTGCCTTGTTCCTAAACACAGGAAAAAAAGCATTCAAATTTCACATTTAGTATGACATAGTCTGTTGGATTTTGTAGATTCCCTTTGTTGGAATAAGGAAATTCTCTTCCATTCCTAGATCGCTGAGACTTGTTATCATGAATGGGTATTTAATTTTAGCAAATATGTTTTCAGGATTCATTGAGATAATTTTATGTTTTTTCCCTTTATTTGGTTAACTTGGTAAATTACACTGGTTGATTTTCAAATTTTACACCAACCTGGCTTTCTTGAAATCAAGCCCACTTAGTCATGACGGATTATCCCTTTGTATGTATCAGTGGATACAATTGCTAATATTTTGATTAGGTTTATACATCTGTGTTTATGAGAAATATTGGCCTATCATTTTTCTTTCTTGTAATAATAATCTCAGATTTTAGAATCAGAGTTTGGAAGTTTGGGAGTATATCCATTTTATTTATTCACTGAAAAAAGTTTTAATACCTTTTTTCAAATTTTTTTTAAATTTTGAAATAACTTTAGATTTATAAAAGAGTTATAAAATATTTGGCTACATTTTACAAATTAACTTAAAGTATAATTTTCATTCAATAAAATGCACAGGTTTTA